GTGTGTGTGTGTGTGTGTGTGTGTGTGTGTGTGTGTGTGTGTGTGTGTGTCTGAATAGAGGGTTGGTTGTAAATACAGGGTAGGTTGTGAATACAGGGCAAATCAAAGCTATCAAAGCTAGCCAAATTAGAGAGAATTGTGGAAGCCAGGGATAAGGGAGGGATGCTGGTGAGCACCTACTGAGCATGCTCAAAGGCCTGCACTCCATCCCCAGTAAGGCAGAAAACAAAGCCAAACCTCCAGCTGGCATGTAGTTTAGGTAGTTTGACCCAGTATACCCCTTAGAAGTCATCTGTTAAGATTAAAAACTCTTCAGCGCATGGAGAGCTGCCTTGGGTATGTGTATTCTTGCTGTAACCCCAACAAAAGCAGCCTAGGGCGGGAAAGCGTTTATTTCATCATATAGCTTATATTCTGTTATGGAGGAAAGTCAGGGCAGGAACCTGGAGGCAGGAACTGAAGCAGAAGCCACGGAGAAATGCTGCCTACAGGCTAGTTCCTTCTGGCTTGCTCAGTCTGTTTCCTTACAGCAGCCAGGCATGCCCACATCAACCACTAATCAAGAAAATTCCCCACAGGCTTGTCTGCAGGCCATCTGAAGGAGGCATTTTCTCAGGTGAGGGTCCTCATCTCAGATGAGCCTAGTTTGAGTCAGGTTGACAAAAAAATTACCCAGAACAGTGAGTACACGTTTTCATAACTGATGCTCAACCATGATACAAGTAGATTTAAGAGGCCAATGAAACTAGATTTAAGGAAGCAGCTTACATAGTTTGGATACATGCAGGTAAGTAATCAATCCACCAGTGAAGGCCAACTTTAGAAACAGAAACACATGTCTTATTAGATTGAAACTAACAGGGAATTTCCATGTGATAATTTTCCAAATGGATTTAGGAAAAAAAAAAGTTTACAAACTAAAACTCAAAATTTCTTTCACAAAATTAGATGATCAAATCAGAAGAGTCTAATAGCTAAGGCTCACAGTACAGCCCCACCCGCCTCCCTCCTCAGGGGGCATCATCCAACACTTTCTTAGAGGGGACATTTGATTGCTCATTCCCTGTGTGCAAGTGTATGCATAACGTACGGAGGTCAGAGGTCAATGTTGGGTGTCACCCCACCTCCTTTGAGACAGAGTACATTGAGAGTGTGAAGTGCGTTTAATAAAAGCTCAGGGTCAGAAATTAGGCTTCAACCTGAAGATCTGAAAAGGAAAACAGCCAGTCACTGGTTTCCACCTCGATCTCAGTCTGAAATGGTGATCCTGCCTCCGGAATCTCAGTGTGTGTTGAGAGCTGTTTCCTCCCATTTTATAATCCTCTCCAGGGCTGGGATTAAAGGCGTGAACCACTGTGATTAAAGGTATGCACCACCTGGTTTCTTTGGCAACTAGTGTGGCTCCTGGGATTAAAGGTGTGTGTTACCATAACCTGGTCTGTAAGGCTGGCCAGGGGGACTGTTTTACTCTCCGATCTTCAGGCAGTCTTTATTTATTAAAATGCAATGAAATGCCACTATAAGAGTGCAGCTCACAAATTCTACTACACTGGCTGTCGTGAGCTCCAGGATCCTCCTGTCCCCTCCCCAGCACTAGGATTATAGGCATGAACCCCTCTCCCAGTTGTTTGCTAGGTCCTGGGAATGGTTCTGTCTTAGTTTGGTTTCTATTGCTGTGAAGAGACGCCATGACCTTGGCAACACTTAAAGAAAAAACACTTAATTGGGGTGGCTTCCAGTTTCAGAGGTTCAGTCCATTATCAATGATATGGTGGCATGCAGGCAGACATGGTGCTGGAGAAGGAACTCAGAGTCCGATATCTTGCCTGGCAGGCAATAGGAAGTGGTCTGAAGCCCTGAGAATGGCTTAGGCATCTATGAGACCTCAAAGCTCACCCCACAGTGACACTTCCTCCAACAAGGCCACACTTACTCCAACAAAGTCACATCTTCTAATTGTGACACTCATGAGTTTGCAGGGGTCAGTTACATTCAAACTACCCCAGAGATACAACACCTCATGTTACACAGCTGGGGCTTTATATCTGAACATTTCCTCAGTGTCTAATAGAAAAAATTATCAAGTGAGTCAGGCTGAAGCCAGACCTTCTGCTGACACCGAAGGAAGGAAGGGAAATTAATAAAATACTTTCTGGAGAGAAATGCACTTTCTAAGGAAGTGCTGACTCTTAGGGGCGTGACCTACTAGCTAGCTGCAGAATCATGCCTGGAAATGATTTAAAGACTTGAAACCCCGAAAATATTTTGGCTGTCCAACAGGCCTCCAAATTCCCACCCAGGTGGGTCGCATAGGTAAGACAGCCCTCCAAAAGCAATCACGCAGGTACACAGTGCTAAGCTGAAGCGGGTGACAACAGGTTGAGACGCCCATGGCTGACATGTTCGGAACTCTGGTGGCCTTACGGGGAGTCTGACTATAAAAGCAGTGGTCTGGCTTTATTGTTTCAGCTCTTTGTGAGCGCTGTGAATAACAGCTGTGTTAAGCTGGGCAAAGGCCTGGGGACTCGGCTTGTAGTGAAGTGGGGCCTCTGATGTCCACAAAAGGCATTTTTACAGCACCTGCATGCTTGGCGGGAGGGGAGGGTTAATCCAGGATGCTTCCTGAAGCTGGGCTCTGAGAATAGTTGGATTATCTGGTAGACTCTATTTGGGAGGGCTGAAAGAAGAGGGGATCCACCCCGCTAAGTTGTCCGTATCACACACAAAAATTAGCAACTAGAGATGACACGCTGCCCAGAGGATGGGCACGAATCCCTGCCTGTGCCTCCAGCCTTTGCTCTTATTAATAGCTTCTCTCTTTCACGATTACTGTTGTGGCACGGCCAGCCAGTCCCATCCCAGTGACACTGAGTGCCAAGGTATCTGCAGAGGGCAGGGGAGTGGTGGCCTGTTTCTGTCCCACAGTGCCGCAGTGGGCTCAGCATGGACGACTCATCTGAAGGCCCATTCACTCCTTAGCCATGTGTCAACCTCCTCGTGTGACTTGCCATTGCCACTCAGCTTGGTGGCACCAGGATTCTTATGTTCCCCATGGTGTCTCAGCACTCAAGATGGGAACTCACCGGCCATTTCTGGGTTCAGTGTTCTCATTACTGCTGTTTTGGTTGGAAGAATGTCAGAGGCAGGGGCACATCCTCCATCCTGAGATGAGAGGAGTGTCTGGCCGCACTCTGAGGGGCCCATGGAGTGTTGTGGAGGGTGCTGTCGTCATCTTTGGAGAAGTGTGGACACAGGTTCCCTTCCTTCCCCCATGCATGTAGAGACAGCTCACCACAGAACCTTAAAAATCCCACTGCATGGGGAAATTCATCTGGGGATCAAACAGGGCTGAAGGGAAGGGGTCCATCTGGATCCTCAGACCTCCTGCAGAGGATCATGAAGGTCCTTCTGGGCCTGTAACATGCTCAAAAACTAGTTCCGATGAGGCTGGGATTAGACAGTATGGCGCAACTCTGGAGCGCAGTGTGACTCACTGGAGAGTCTCAGAACCTCCACCAAGGGCTCCAGTGTTCAACTTAGGATTGGGGGGCACTTAAGAGTGGTGACCCCAGAGGGCATATTGGCAAAGCTGCAATGTATGTCACCAACTGGGGAACACTTTGGGGACCAAATGATACGTCCATGAGAGCTTTAAGGTTGAATCCGAGGAACTGGGAAGTGGACAGGAAGTGTGTGATCCTGTGGCCTCCGGGCGGACAGCGCAGAGCCTGGGATGACCCCATTTATTTATACTTCTCTTTCCCACCCTGTGCCCTGTCAACACTACTGCCTGGAATGCTCCTCTCATGAAGTCAAGACTCAGGGGAAAGGGTGTTTGACCCTGTTTCTCACACAAAGGGACCACGCACTCCTCCCTCGAACCTTCCTTAAACACCCAGCAAGCACAATTGATAGATTTCTATGTTCATGAAGATTAATAGAGCCAGCCAGATGGTTTGCACCTCCAGAACAGAGTCGTCCATCAGGGAAGGGATGTCAGTTACTCCTTCCGTCGTCAGCTCCTGCCAGCACTGGCCACAGAAGACTAAAGGAAGGCTCAGATGTCTCAGAACCCACAAGGAGGAAAAGCAAATGAATCTGGAGGGGTTTGCAGACACCTCCACCGGACAGCCCTGCACCCTGCATCCAGAGAGACTGAAGTACAACCAACCAATATTCCCCCTTGTAACCCCATCCAATCTCCCAGGCTTCCGCATAAGCTCAGCGTACCAAAGACGTATCTGGACCCTGAAGAAGGCAAACTACACCAATCACAGGAAAATATACAGAACAAGTCTGCAAAAATGTTCGTACCGCCTGAAAAATCATTCTCTAGTTGACTAGCGCCATCTTGTGGAGAGCTGTACCATCACCACTTAGGGCCCCGCCCCGGTCCAGGCCCCTGGAGGCTCCACCCACGCTTCTTACCATGCATTTGGGCCAAGGCTTTGGCCATGTCCTGGATGGAGAGTCTCAGCTGCTGCAGGGCCTGGAGCAGGGTGTCCTGGTTGTGTTGCAGAACGGCCTCCACTCCCCGAACCAGGGCCTGGGAATGAGATCCATTTTCTCAGTTCACGACTTTCCCTTAACGTCCAAGGAGTAGGCAGATCCCAGGGCAATGGCCCACACTTCTGGCACACCTCTGGAGCAGAAGCCTTGACATCAGGGCCCTCAATGCTAGTATTTTCTCATTCGCTTTGGATTTCCCATGTCATGGTCGTTTCTAATCTGGCCTCCCGAGCCGGGATATCCTCCCCGCAGATCTGTGTGACATCGGACAGGTTCCTGAAGACTCCCAAGCTCCACAGCTCCGTCAGTCCAGATGCCCTCCTTGTTTTAGACTGATCTCAGCTAAACCGACGACCTAGCATCAAGCTGCTGAATCTTCCAGGGGACCAGTGGGCGAGACAAACGAATGAGGACGGAAGTGGCCACAGGATTTCACTACCGTGTGGGCACCCATGTACCTACACCCCGGTAGACCATGGAGCTACACCCCGGCCCTGACTTTCACTTTTGAGAGTGAAAGATTCTGCAGTAATTACGCCCTGACTGAACACTTTATTGAACAGCAGGCATCCAATAAAACCATAAATCCACCTTAATCTAGAGATAAAGGTGATATATGAAGGTTCCCGTCTCACTGTTTATTGTCTATATACCCAGCCCCGCTAAACCCAATGGGACCTGAAAGGAGAAAAAATAAATTTTGCAGCCCCCAGGACTGAATCACCTGGGTGACTGCAACGATGCCTGCGCTCTGGAAGAGATCATTTCTTCTGCATATTTACAGTTACTCTCTTGTAAGAAATTCACGCACACGCACGCACGCACGCACGCATGCACGCACCCTCATATCTTACCTCAGCTGCCATTTCTGTGGGGAAGTTTGCCTGACCCTTCAAGCATGCATTACTTTCACCTTCTCCTCACGGAACAGCCTTTTTCTTTCTAACCTATGTGACTCCAGCTGCTGCGGGACCGTGCACTGTGACAGCCAGCACAGTGGGTGTCTGTCGCACCCTGCCCCCGGTGCCTGTGTGTAGACGGAGGAATGGTTCGCTTCGTGCTACAGGGACGCTGACCCCACAGACTAGAACTCAGATCCCTTCCTTCATGTTTGACCAACTAGGAGAAGGCCTGTGTCTGACTGAAGGTGAAACCACAAGGACAGTGCCTGACTGAAGGTGAGAGACTGGGAAGCGAGGAGATACCTTAATGCCAGGCGCGGCTGCCTTCTCCACCAAAACGGTCACCAGTGCAAAGGCCTGCAGGCTCTCTCCCCCGGGAAAAGAGATGATGGTTTCCAGGTTACTGGAAGAAAGAGGCCACCAGGAAGGAAGGAGACCGTGTCAGTTAGAGACAAGCTCCCCTGACCTGAAGACTCTGGGTGTTTACCGTGGCCTTGATGATCCTTGACCTTTGCCCCAGTGAAAGAGCCATGGGAATCCACCATGTTGGGCAGGTTTTAGCAAGAGGTTTCTAGTCCTTCAGGATTCTTGTCTAAGGCTAAGGGGTCTTGGAGCTAGAGGGATCAAAGTGAACACCTTCTTCCCGATTAAGGTATTGAAACGAACTGTGGTTCAGGGAAGTAAGGCGGCTTATCTTCTTATCTAGAGGCATATAAATGATTATTCATGGCCAGATTCAGTATAGTTTAAGAACTTAACCTAGCCCGCTCCCCCTTTTGGTGAGGCGGGGTCTTACCATATTGCATATTGTCCTCCAACTCACGATCCTCCTGCCCCTGCCTGGCAGATGTGAAGACTATGGCTGTGTGCCTCTGAGCCTGGCTCGAGTTCTAACCGAGCATGAGATGCTACCACAGAACAGGGCTGGAAGACTATCAAGAGGGGCCATCTCTACTCAACCTGACATCTGACCGTCAGATTCATATCTAACCCGATCTACCAAACCCAAAGAAGTCGCTTTGTGCAGCTGCTTCATCTCCAGCAAATATGAGCAAAGCCAAGACTCGAACCCCAAAACAGCAAAGCCGATGGGGGTCAAGCAGAGGTGTGTCAGCTTGGGGAACGATATTTTCACCTTCCACCTATACCCTTCACAGATTTGAGGGGGATGCACACACAGTGCAAGAACAGCTTCCCTGCCGGCTTTGCTGCCCACGGAAGGTGGAGCCTCTGACTGCAGGCCAGATCTGCCCTCAAGGGTTCCAGTCCACCGGATGACAAGGGCTTTCAACAGGACCTTCCTATCACTGCTGTCTGCTCGCATCTGGCCTTTCGCAGATGTCGTACACAGATGAGAAAGCCCTGTGAGACCGTTAGGCTCCGCCACAGAGTCATACTTTGTTGTTTTCTTACACTGCACTTTTTATTGTAGACATATGGTAATGAAAAATTAATCCCTTTACCCCTACAAAGTAGCCTCCCTCAGAGCTAATGCTTGGACTACTGAGTTTTTAGCATATTTCTTTGCCTTTTCATGCGTTCTTTCATGATGCTGTGCTGTCCACAGAGCTTGCCACGCCTCCCCTGTTGTTTTCTCAAAAACCTTGAAAGGTATCAGTGATTCTAAAGAGACAGCTTACCTGATTTCCCACGGTCTGGTCGCATTCCGGTTATCGGCAATGGCAAAGAGAACAAGAAAAGAACAACTCGGTTGGTGACCAGAAATAATTCTTGGAGTCCCCGGTACCCAAGCTCACACCCTCATCAGCAATGCCCATGCATACATACTCCTTGGCACACACCGAGGACACCATGGGTTGTGATTGGACAAAGAGCCACTGAGTGACAGCGCAAACAGGCGCTCAGCTCTTGGTGCCAGTGCCCTGTGTCTGCGCAGGCGCGGGCTCATTCCTGTTGCTCTTTAGCTGGCCCTCGCCACAAGATCCACCCACGTGAGTTACTCGGATCCTACCCACCTCTTAGATCAGCATCTGCTCCCTCGCCAAGCTCTCCCTGCTGCTCTCCTGGAATTCTAGAGATGCTGTTTGTGTTGCTCTTTGACATCCATCAGGAGCCGCTTTGGCCCGATATTGAATTGCTTCGGGAGTGTTTCGCTTCTCTTTCTTTCATTTCTGCAAAGCCCGAAGCTCTGTGTAGACATCTTAGAAGATGTCAGGAATACGTTCACCTAAAAGGACGACTCGGGAGTCCCGGTCCTGCACCTACATCTCTGGGCCCTGCATCTCACTTGCTGGGACACTAACTTCTCGTGGTTGCTTTTTGCCTTCTCAGCCCAGAGCAGACACATTCCCCTTTAAAATGTCTTTTTTTCCTTTTCCCTTGAATCATAAACCCAGCTTAGTCAACGCAATGCAGTCACCACAATAATCCATGTCATAATATTTATTATCTCACTCATCGCAATTGACTAATCCTGGTCTAGGTTTGATAGCTCTCAGTGCATACCAGTTTTTATTGCTGTATAATTGGTCAGGCCATGGCTACCTATAACCACCATGCCAAAGAAGATCTCTCTATATCCAGCTCAGTGTCTCCTCTGTGGTCTTAATTTACCACAAAAGTAAACGCTGCCTTGCGTTTACAAGCTAAAATAAATTTTACTATGAACATGAAGTTTCCACGGATTTGCTGCTTGTTTAAAAGTTAGAAGACAAATGCTACTAGGCCCAACTCAGCTGTGAAATGGTGCAAACTAGGTGAAATAATGGCATATATCAGATTCCCACACACCTAGGATTGTTCATTCAGAACCATATTGATCACTCCTTGACACCCAATCCTGACCTGACTGGAATGGAGGGCAGAAGGGGGAATACGCCATGTGCTGAGAAAAAAAAGAAGGAAAGGAAGGAAGGAAGGGAGGGAGGGAGGGAGGAAGGAAAGAAGGAAGAAGGAAGAAGGAAGAAAAGAAGGAAGAAGAAAGGAAGGAAAGAAAGAAAACAACAACAACCAAAAAAAAAAAAACAAAAAACCAAAAAACCCCAGCACAGTGTGATTACACAGGAGACTGAAATTCAGAAATCCAGATGTGAAGTGGAAGCAAAGGAAAAAGCAAAGTCTGAGGCCAATCTGTCAATCTGTTTCGAGCCCACAAAGAAAAAAACATCTGCAGTTTAAATGTGTGTATCCACTCTTTCATGGAACCATAGAGCAAAGGATGAGTGTGAACACACAGCTCACTATAAAGTAGCCCTAAGCCCATGAGTCGTTTTATCTGAGGACAGCTGAAGTTCCGGGTCCTCCCAATCCTGAATCTCAGTCCGCTGGCCTCTGAAGAACCTTTTCCCTCCTTACCCTTCTGGATTCCTTTTGGTCCAGTTTGTCAGCACCAGGTCAGAGTGGACCAGGATGGGAGGGAGCCCCAACTTCCTGGAGACTTCAACAAAAGGAATGGCAAGAGTTCTTGGCAGCACCTTTAGGACAGGAATGCAGACGATCAGGGTATTCTATTGGCAGAGGCAATTACCACGGTTGCCTGTGATAAGTGACCCGGGGACCAAGCTTGGGTTCCCTGAGTAGTCCACATCTGGACCCTACAGACACTTCCTGGGAGAGACCCAGTGGGAATACTGTCTATGAGAACACATGGAAAGAGAGGCAAAATTCAGAAATGGAGCATATGTACACACAACGCAGAGAACTGCTGAAGACTATGTAAAGTAGAACATCACCAAAACGTTTAGTGTAAATTGAGGCCAAAGAACTAACAATGTAAATTGATCTCTAGATAGATGATAAATTATAATATATATGATAGATAGTTAGATAGATAGATAGATAGATAGATAGATAGATAGATAGATAGATAGATAGGTGATAGATAGACAGATGATAGATGATAGATAGATAGATAGATAGATAGATAGATAGATAGATAGATAGAT